CCAGATGATGTTCTTCCTAAATGATTTCTTGCAGTCATTTTTTCTGTCTTTCCTATTATTTATTAATTTCTCAAGCAATGATCGTCAGCTCATCCAAGTGGTTTGGAGACCAAGGCTCAGGTTTTTAGCTGGTACAAATCAGGATAACTCAATCCAAGTCAATGGAAATGATGGATGAAGTCAGTGGAAAAGGTATGACCAAGAGTTTATGCTACACAGGCTTCCAAAACAAGGGCAAAGCCTTCTAGACAGCATAGTACGTATAATCAAAGTATTTTCTCACTGAAGCTAATGGCACTTCTTGTGGGTGGCGAAGACAGGTGGAGGAATCCCAAGTCCTCATTTGTGTCCACATCTGTGAATCAGGAGCAGCTCTATTATCTGTCACACACTGTGCTCTTCGCAAAATCTGTTCATTGTCTTCTGCTAAATGCTGCAGGATGCTGATCATTTTTGTTGAAATTTGGCTCATGTGCAGCGTCTTAGTTTATATGGTGGGGTGGAGGGATGGGTTTAACTTTTGGCTTGAAAGAAAGAAAGTAAAAAATCTAGACCCTTTCAAGAGTGCTGGCTGAACAATTTTGAAATCCGGTCCTGAGCTTTTTTGGAAAAGTGACCCAATCCGTCTAGCTGTTACACCATTTTTTTGGCTCTGACTAATACATGGATTGGTATTTACTTGCATAAAATGCTCGTGAGAGATGGGGGTTCCCATTCACTTGGGCTGTTTACTGCTCCCCTGAGATCACAGGCTTCAGCGACAATGGAGAGGACCACTTCACAGGTGCATGGTTTATATGCCAAAATGAGTAGTAAATCAGAGCAGAGGAAGAAAGGGCTGGAACAACACTTGCCTGTAGGAGCAACCCTTGGAAAGGGATGTTGACTGTGTTCATTTTACAAGTCTCATCTCCTAAATCTATGCTGGCTCACACTGCACCAGAGGGACTGGGTCCCAGGTTGGAAATCCAAGGAACACATTGATAATTTGCCAGATTACACAGGGGGTGAACTTGTCCCTGGTCTCTATTATTGGTTCAAAACCAGGAATTCTCATACCCTTTCGGACAGATGGCTGGTCCTATCACTTCTTATGTTAGATTTCCCATTGAGCCTGAAAGCAAATCCACATTCAAGCTAAAAGTAAACAACCTGCGAATTCAAATGGCATTAACTCGAACTGCCAAAGCATTTGCTGCGTATGCTGCAGATGTCAAATAGACAGTTTCCCACAGCCCTGAGCCTAGACACATAACTAAGTTACACAGCAAAACCTTCCACCCAGCCCAAAAATCCATCCTGTGCAAAACTCTCTTCGCTGGTGTTTTAAGAGTTGGAGCCTCAGCTGGAATGAATTAATGTAGTCACTCTGATTTGAATAGAGCTACACCAATTTATACCAGATGAGGATTTCACCCTTTGAAGGCCAAAAGGGAAATGGCTATCCAATACTATTTTAACAGTGTGGCTTGAGGAAAAAAGTAATATGTGATGTATTTTAAGCAGTGAAAGAACACTAAGTAAGTTTCTTTCCATTTCTATGATTAATTTGAGGAGAAACCTATTGCAGAGCTTGGTTCTTAAGAATCAGGCTTTGCAGAAAAATGCATATAATAACACAACTTATAAATACAAACAACACAAGTTACCCGACTTATTCCGATTCCTGATACCTTTCAAAAAAGCCAACATAAATTTAACTAGGAGCCCAAGCATGACGTTGCAGTGGTATTGCAGGAGATTCAGAAAGTAGAAAGGACTGAATAAACCAGTCTGTTTTTTTCATGCCAGGGCTGAATGAAGAAGACAAAACTATGAAACTGAACCATACAAACAGAAAAACCCACCCATGTGATTAGAAATGCTCCGAGTATTCATACCATGTCATGTTCCTTGGCATGGCAGATTTATTTTTCTAATATATTTTGCTGTAAACCGAATTAACACCATGGAAGTCATATTCTGTAAATCAGGATTTATTCCATTTAAAGCAACATAACCTCATGCTATAAATTCAGGAATGATTACCCAAATTAAGCCTATGTTTTATTCTTTAGGATGGGAGGGCCCACTCGCAGACTTGGATGTGCTTTGATTTTCCCCAGAGTAAACTGAAGGTCAACTATTACACCAATAGAAATTGAGATTTTTAAGATGATAATAATGAGAAACCAAACTTTAAAGGGTTTAACTGGAAGCCACTAGACTGATGCAGCTCATCAGAAAATTCAGCTCCTCTTTCCTCCAGCCATCCTTATTTTCACTTTACAATTCAGTGTAAGCTGGCAATTAGTAATACTTTGTCTGTTTATAGAGCCTTCCATCTGAGGATCTAGAAACACTTTGTAAACACTAATGAATTAAGCTTCTTAACACCCCCTGTGAGACAGATACTACTATCTCATTTGCACAGCACAGGGAAGAGGTGTGGGCTTGCCGAGGGTCAGAGCCAGCCACTGGCAAGAGCTGGGAAACCACTCTACACCCTGAACGTCACCTTCAGCTCAACAATGCAAGGCTTTCAATAGATTCAGTGATGCACCTGGCAACCTCGAAAGCTTTAATTATCTCTTGGAACTGACAGTGTGTCCTGATGTCTGGCAGGTTGAAAACACAGAGGGTTGAACTTCAACCCACTGAGAAAACTTAAGTCCCACTTACTTTTGGACATAAACACCATGAATATATTGTACACCTTCACCCAAAACTATTACTCACAAATATGATCCTTTGACAGGGTAAACAGAAGACAAAATTGGGAATTCAGTTGTTCTTACTCTGTATTTAATAATAACAGCAACCCTGAACAAACAAGTAAAGGAGGATTCCTTTCCTTTTTTTGTGTCTTTAATTGCCCATAAATTTTCTCATGTAGGGGAAAGGTAAAATATTAAGCCTGTTTGCAAGTCATGATGTCAAGAGGAACTTACAGTATTTTTAAATAAAGCCTAAAGGTTTTGCTTCCAACATTATCAGGAATGCTTAGATCCTAGCTAAGCCTTAGGACAAGACAGACATTGATGAGATAACTGGGGTTTTTTACCACAGCACAGTCTCATTTATTTAAGAGCAGCTAAATGTCTAGTACCTATTTGAAGTGTTTTTCCGCGTAGGTCTTTTCCAAGTGCATGGCAATTGAACAATTTCCATGATGATTTTTCTGTCTGAAAATACACACCTCCCCCTCTTTTCAATTTATCACTGATCCAGTCAGCCTGTTTATTGTTGAAGTTTTGCCCATTTAATAGTGCACTTAGGAAAGCTTAGTACAAACATCGACTAATTCATCGCTGTCACAAAGAGAAAAGCCTTCAGAATCATTCATCTAACTGTGAGTCAAGAGCAAGAGTCTCTTATTTAGAGATTGGTCAATAAGAAACACTGTTATGGAAGCTATTTTAAACAGACCAGATTAAAAAAAAAAAAAAAACCTAAAAAATTAAACCCCTCTTTTCTTCCAGATTAAAATTGAGAATAGCAACTAACATATTTGGTTTTTGCTTTCAAAATTTGCTGGTGATCTCAAATCCCAGAAACAGGGTACTACAGAAGAGACAGGCATTTGACATATTCAGCCTGTTGATTTGTGAACTATTAGCAGACTACTGTTTGCCTAAAAATAGGTATTCAAAATTCTTTTACAAAAACTCTTCTTGATCTCTTCCCAATTCATGGGCTGTTAAACATCTGCATGACATGCTGATGTTTGTCTCCTGAATAGTGGGACATTACAATCCCTGGAAGCAGGTCTCCAGCAGGAATATTAAAGACACTATTCAGGAATATTCTTCAATATTCACAACCTTTGCAAACACTCCTGCTTGTAAACATGTTTGCTGGAATGTATGTCAAGAGCAAACGCGACAGGATGGTGGGAGAAAGTGTACAAAGTCTAACCAAGCTTATAAAACCCCAACAGCTAATGAATATTTGTGGAAAATGTCTTACGGTATTTCCTTGGCTGTGGATACTAATTAGGAATGCCTATAAAGCTAAGACTCTTTTGCTGCCTGCCTCCCTGTGTACTCCAGAATTGAAAGTCATGTCTATGCATCTCTTTATCATGTTCATCCCTGTTACATCTACTGGACCCAGGCACAGTTTTTAAAGTTTTTTGTGTGTAGATCAAATAAGTGAGATTATGAACAACCAGAGAGAGGCCCAGAAACTCATTTCACATAAACATCTTGACAGCTAACAGCTTTTTAATGTCTCTGACCAAAAATAAACTTACAACAGATATACATGTAGATTGGTCAATATGCCTTATTGCCCAATATTGACTTACCACAGTGTTACACAGTAGTATGGATCCTCCCTTCAGGCCCCTTTCTTCAGTAACAAACAGCTTTTCCATTGGGTCTTCTATGAACAACCCAGTAGATATCCAAAGAAATGCAGTAAACTCATGTTTCCTCATGACATTGGTTCACAAGCCCATGGACAGGGAAGGTCGGAGAATTGCAAGGAAAGCCAGTGGACATCCTTAGATTTATATGTCTGTGTGCTTAACAATCGTCATTTTTGGACAATGAGCCACAGCAATGGTGTGCAGATATATAGGTGTTCACATCTGAGAAAATCAGCTCTTACTAAGTGCAAACCCTGCTTAAAAAAGCAAGGCATTGAGATCCAGCATTTTAATCAGTCTAAAAGAGAAACTTTAATTCAGTGTGACAACTGTGAACCTCCTCTGCCATGGTGATGACACAGGAAAGATTAGACTAAGGTCAGAACCAGGGTAAATTTGTACCTAGGCTCCTCAAAATTGCTCTTGTAATATCAAGGCTCACCACAAGCTCTTGTAACTCACCACCGTATCTGTTTTCCAGTAAAGTATAATGCTTCCTTTTTCACCTACTAGTAGTGCATCCCTCAGTATGTTTCCTGAGCAGGAGTTTACTGAAAATGATCTTTGCTCTGCTGCGCATACAGCCAGCTCACATAGTAATGAGATTGAGTTGTTCTCCTTTCTTTTAGAAAGAAGTTCAAATCCTAGTGCACTGCAAATAGGTTTTTATTTCACAAATTCTGCCTATTAATTGAATACATCATTCCTTATGTTTCTCTCTCCTGGAAGGTAAGGGAAAGTGATGTACCATCCAGAATTTTTGCAGACTGTCCCCTCCTGTCATTCATTGCTAGAGAGGGTACTGTATAATGCATGGCTTACCTGCAAAGGCATTGGAGGAGTAATGAAATAAGCAGATGCTTCGTCAGCAGGCTTTTAAAATATTGGTATTGCAATCTGAGATGCAGTCAGCCATTACATGCATATGCCCTGTATTTATGGAGCTGATAAAGGTTTTATGTCAAGAGCAGTCAAGCTGCCTCTTTACTTTCTGCCTTTCCTCACATTAAAGAAAGCTGCTGTCTGGTTATTTTATTTTCATATTCCCAGATTTGGGAGGAAAAGAAGGATCTACCTCCTGACTCATCTGTTAAAAATAGACATCTAAACCCCAGACAATTCCATCCAAGAAAATCACTGGGGACTCCCTATAGTGATTCATCTCATCCTAACACAGATAATGGCTGAAATAGGTAACTCCCTGGGGTTATCACAACTAGCCCAGATATAGGTGAGAACACCACACATACCCACACCACCAGAGTTGCACACATTCACTCATCTATAATTTAAATTGTTTATACTTTTCTACCCTTTTCTATCATAATTTGTTATTTCATGACAGCATTGAACACATTTTCCTCCAAATTCCACTCTAAACACCAATGGTAGGTAAGAAAACGGGGTGAAAGCTGGCACAGAACAAAGGCAAGGATGGTGTTGACATTAACAGCCACCATACGAAGGAGCATTTTGCACTGTAAATAAAAAAGTATTGCTCAGCTGCATGAGGAGTGAAGTTCTGAAGTCACTGAGTCACCAAGGCTGTGGCTCAGGGGAAGACTATGGTTCATGCTCAACACTGTTTGATCACTGGTACTTCATCCAAAGGTTCACAGCAAAACAGATGATAGGACACAGAAAAGCTCTTGCTAACCCTGCAATGAAAAATGCTGCTTGCTGACTGACAGCTCCCAAACCAGCTTATGTGCATCTAATTACCGAGCCATAACCCAAATCAAAATGCCCCACTGCAGCTGGTGTCTCACTTAATCCATTCATGACATGAGCTAATGAACATTGATATTCTCGGGCAAGTTTATTCCAAATGTGGTCAAGTTCCAGGCTTTCAGCTATTTGCTAGGACCCATTGAGAATCCTGAGAGAGGCTATGTTTCTGCCCAGAAGGTATTTTCTGGCTTATTGGTGGAGAAGCTTAGGACTGGGTTCACAGGAAGATGCTGTACTGGGCTGAGATGAACACTGGCATATGAGCAGTGCTGCTGAGCTGTTCTTTCTGCTATACCCTACCTCCATGCAGAATAGTCTGTAGCAGAATCAAGATATTTCATAGTTTTCCTCCTGTCAGAATTTGAATGTCCTGATTCAGGGGGGTAAAAAAATGAAAAACGAAAGAAAAGGAAAAAGAAATCTTGTGAAGTGGGAGAAGCCAAGGGACAATTCTGTATTTTACGGTATTCTTTATAAGCAGAGCTGAGAAAAGAGGCCAGTTACCAGAGCTCTGCATTTCTTTTTCAACCTATGGGATTAGAAGATGAGAGCAGGTGCTAAAGGGAGTTTTGCCCATGGCAGAAAATCAGGATCTTAAATCTTCATCGCTGGAAGTCACGAAAAGCCCTAGCAATGATCTATAGTGGCTGCACTTGGAAATTGGTGATATAAGGAATTGTCATTTGGCAGAAAACAGACTTCCCTCTCCTTCAATGCACCACAATTTCAGTTTAATTTGTAGCAGGATGCAAGTGTAAATGAACTGACAACAGAGCTATCAGCTATTCTGTTGGTAACACTTGGAGCAATAGTTTCGATTTGACTAGACACAGCTGTCCACTGCATGGAACGACCTTTAGCCTCATCCTTGGCGAAATTCAATTCTCTCCATGTCTGACTTCGTCCACGGGGACTTGAGTAGCAGAGCTGCCAGAATAATCAGCACATTGCTTAATGACAGGCACTCCAACGAGCAGCGTGGTTGTGCATTGTCAGAAACGGAGCCTGCAGCTCTGGGGAAGGGGAGCCTTCTTGCTATTCAAAAGGAAATAAAGAGGTTGTGTAGGAGCAAACATGGATGCATGCAGCTGCCTTTGCTTGACGAGCATCACCGATGTGCTTGGCACCGCGTGCGTGTATGTAAACATGGAATTTTCTCCTATGTTTGTCAGCAAGTATGCATTTTTATTAGATTTGCCTCTCAGAAAAGGCTGGATTATGCTCCTGCTCTGCATTGTACCACTGCAAAATGTAATTTCCATTTATATAAGTCTAAATATGCATACATGCATTGTGGTGATGCTTACATGGCCATCCAGATGTCTATCATCTGATGTGTATATATATGTATAGATACACACACTTTCAGTGTGTTTATTACATTGGCCATTGCAATAAGAAAGCTTAGACTGCAACCATCAAAACAAATGAATTTCCCAAATTTATAGCTATGTGTGCAAACTTAGTTCTGCTTCAGTGGGTGTCTCCCTAGCAGTGTGACCAAGGTACTCTCTCACATGTAATAGGAAAGGTGTGTCAAGATGGCATTAACACCTATAGGCCCCAGACCACACCATGGCTGGACCTGCAAGGATGAACCTGGCACTGCCTAATTTTAAAGCTGGTTAATTCAGCAGTGTGAACACAGAAAACAGCTTCCAAAACCAGACCCATCTTTTCCTTCATTGAGGGTCATCAGAGGGATGCACTGTTTTGGCTGGCAAAACTTGCTGTAACCACCACTAGTAGGAGATTGCAAGGGGTGAGACACCAGCTCCACCTGCACCACAAACCCCCGGGGTTTTCTCTCTTTGCTATTTTTGCTTTTGCAGTGATGTAGGTATGGCTCTGTGGAAGTATCCTGTTCAGTTATTATTCTGACCTGCTGCCAACATTTTCTTGAGAAACACAAGTGAGACATGGGGAATCGCGATCGTACACAGGTCATATGTCAGCCAGAATGGAGGAAGGTTTCATGGGAGAAAGGAAACACATGTGTCTTCGGCTGCAGACTTTTGTCCCCACCAAAATTCAAAGGCTTTTTTTCAAACAATAGAGTTATTACAGCTTCTTAAAAAAAAAAAAAAGAAAAAAAAAAGCATCCAGGAAACTCAAAAAACCCCGAAATAAACCAAACCAACAAATGCAACCCCCACCAAAATAAAGATGGCATGAGAACCTTTCATAATGGAAAACCTTAGGAATGTAAAAATGCTGGTCTTCATAGGTGAGAAAACCAGAGGGTCTCCAAAACTCTCTGAAATCGTATTACAGTGAGGCATGTTAAGTAATCCAAATACAGGAGTCATTGCTGCTGACTTGTCACACACACCTCCCCCCTCACCCCCCCCGCCCCCCAAATGTTCCTACTATTTATGCAGAAAAAGGAGAAATTACACAAACCCTAAGTTTTTCTCCTCAAGTCCATCCAATAGCTTTGTGAAGACATGGCTGTGCAGTTTGTCCCAGTTCTCACCATGTGGTTTCTCCTCCCCCCTGTTTGCTCCTCTCTGGCTCTCTCTTTGACTTTCCCTGTCACCTTCCTGACTGTACAGACACTTTTTCACCAGCCACTTCAGTGGCCCTTGATGGCCATGTCGTCTCTTGCACTTGCCTTGGGCTAATGGGTCTGCTGCCTTCATTGACAACATTCATACTCTTCCTTCTTGCTTTTCCTCCACTTCCCTCACTCTGTTACTCATTTTTTCACCTGTAACTTCTGATGGCTCCATATACCTGCAGAAACATGCACAACTAACATGTCTTTTGTTTTGTCCCTTCTTTCCAAAAGCCTGAATAATTCAGAAGCCAACATTTTAGGATGGCTGCACAGTAGTGGCAGTAGAGTAGTACCATCTCTTCATCTAGCTCAGAAGAATACACCACCTCGCTGGGAACTTGTATGAAGCATCACAAGGGTGTATCATGCAAAGAGAATCTTAGTATAGCTTTTCTGGATCCTTGGCAAAGATGTTATTCCAGTTCTTGAGCATGTACTGCTTTGTATTAATTTAGGGTCAGATATTCTTGGTTCAAAGTCTTCAATTAGTACTGCAGAAATGAGGCAAACTGAGAAATCCATGATATCCACCCTGGTTTCCAGGCATCACATGACATGCACACAACTGAAAACATGCGTTTTCTTCCCTATATACGCAAAATTTTAATTTTCTTATTTGATAACCACTTTTTTCCCCTCTATAAGTACACCCAAGTGTGAAAAGTAGAAAATACACAGAAGTTGCAAAATAACTGTCAAGGGTACATAAAATAAAACTCCTCATAAGCAATCTTTCTCTTTTTGTTCTCCTTTATCAATTTCATTTGTAAAGCTTGAAATATTTTATTTCTGTGGGTCCTACCAAAACAACACATTATAGAACAAATAGGAAGTCCCTCAGCAATGCAATACAAGTATTTTCTACAGCCCTGAGAACTCGAATATTAAAGTGATCATTAGATAGATAAACTTTCCCAGAACAGGGAAGAAACAATGAAATACTAAAATTGGAACATATTTATCATCCCACTGAGGTGTATGGGCATTCCCCAAGTCTCCTGCCAATCTCAGTGGCTTAGAACCCTTTGTGGAAAGTCCACAGTGCACAACCATGCAAAGCACTTTACGTGCACATCAGAAAACAGCAAATAATTATATATATGTGGGACTCCAGAAATTTATTTAAGTAGGTAGGCATTGCTGTCCCTATCACTACTGCAAAGGTAGCAGGTAGGGAAAAATAATAGTAGATAGCAGGGAAAGAATGAAACACAGTTGCAGTGAGAGCAAAGAAAGGACATAGTGACATGACACGGGCATCTCCACTCCTCTCCAGCTACCTATCTTCAACAGGGATGATTTCCACCATCTTTCAGTTTGTTAAACTGGCTGAGACTCAACAGTTACAGAAAGGACTCGGGGCCACGGTGACAGTCACGTTCCATAACCAGGAGCAGGGAACAGGAGGAAGCCACTCTACTTTCCAGTTCTTCTTGTTCGCCAAAACCCCATACCTCCAGCTACCATCTTTCAGAAATACCTCTTCCACCCTTGAGAGCTGGAAACCTGCAGTCATTTACTCACAAACAGG